TGGTGGGTGGTGACCTGGTCCACGCTCAGCACGGTGGTGGCGCGTGGTGGCGAGCTTCAGGGCCCAGTGCTGAGCAGTGATAGTGGTTGTGGTGGTGGTGGTAGTGGTGGTGGTGGTGGTTGTGGTGGTGGTGACTGGTCCACGCTCAGCACGGTGGTGGCTGCGTGGGGCGAGCTTCAGGGCCCAGTGCTTGAAGTGATAGTGGTTGTGGTGGGGTGGTAGTGGTGGTGGTGGTGGTGTGGTGGTGGTGGTGGTGACTGGTCCAGCTCAGCACGGTGGTGGCTGCGTTGGTGGCGATTCAGGGCCCAGTGCTTGAGCGGAGTGATAGTGGGTTGGTGGTAGTGTGGTGGTGGTGGTTGTGGTGGTGGTGGTGGTGACCTGGTCCACGCTCAGCACGGTGGTGGCTGCGTTGGTGGCGAGCTTCAGGGCCCAGTGCTTGAGCAGTGATAGGGTTGTGGTGGTGGTGGTAGGGTGGTGGTGGTGGTTGTGATGTGGTGGTGGGTGGTGACCTGGTCCAACGCTCAGCACGGTGGTTGCTGCGGTTGGTGGCGAGCTTCAGGGCCCAGTGCTGAGCAGTGATAGTGGTTGTGGTGGTGGTGGTAGTGGTGGTGGTGGTGGTGTGGTGGTGGTGGTGGTGACCTGGTCCACGCTCAGCACGGTGGTGGCTGCGTTTGGTGGCGAGCTTCAGGGCCCAGTGCTTGAGCAGTGATAGTGGTTGTGGTGGTGGTGGTAGTGGTGGTGGTGGTGGTTGTGGTGGTGGGGTGGTGACCTGGTCCACGCTCAGCACGGTGTTGGCTGCGTTGGTGGCGAGCTTCAGGGCCCAGTGCTTGAGCAGTGATAGTGGTTGTGGTGGTGGTGGTAGTGGTGGTGGTGGTGGTTGTGGTGGTGGTGGTGGTGACCTGTGTCCACGCTCAGCAACGGTGGTGGCTGCGTTGGTGGCGAGCTTCAGGGCCCAGTGCTTGAGCAGTGATAGTGGGTTGTGGTGGTGGTGGTAGTGGTGGTGGTGGTGGTTGTGATAGTGGTGGTGGTGGTGACCTGGTCCACGCTCAGCACGGTGGTGGCTGCGTTGGTGGCGAGCTTCAGGGCCCAGTGCTTGAGCAGTGATAGTGGTTGTGGTGGTGGTGGTAGTGGTGGTGGTGGTGGTTGTGGTGGTGGTGGTGGTGACCTGGTCCACGCTCAGCACGGTGGTGGCTGCGTTGGTGGCGAGCTCAGGCCCAGTGTGAGCAGTGATAGTGGTTGGGTGGTGGTGGTAGGGGTGGTGGTGGTGTTGTGGGTGGTGGTGGTGACCGGTCCACGCTCAGCACGGTGGTGGCTGCGTGGTGGCGAGCTCAGGGCCCAGTGCTTGAGCAGTGATAGGGTTGTGGTGGTGGTGGTAGTGGTGGTGGTGGTGGTTGTGGTGGTGGTGGTGGTGACCTGGTCCACGCTCAGCACGGTGGTGGCTGCGTGGTGGCGAGCTTCAGGGCCCAGTTGCTTGAGCAGTGATAGTGGTTGGTGGTGGTGTAGTGGTGGTGGTGGTGGTTGTGGTGGTGGTGGTGGTGGTGACCTGGTCCACGCTCAGCACGGTGGTGGCTGCGTGGTGGCGAGCTTCAGGGCCCCAGTGCTTGAGCAGTGATAGTGGTTGTGGTGGTGTGGTAGTGGTGGTGGTGGTGGTTGTGCTAGTGGTGGTGGTGGTGACTGGTCCACGCTCAGCACGGTGGTGGCTGCGTTGGTGGCGAGCTTCAGGGCCAGTGCTTGAGCAGTGATAGTGGTTGTGGTGGTGGTGGTAGTGGTGGTGGTGGTGGTTGTGATAGTGGTGGTGGTGGTGACTGGTTCCAACGCTCAGCACGGTGGTGGCTGCGTTGGTGGCGAGCCTTCAGGGCCCAGTGCTTGAGCAGTGATAGTGGTTTGGGTGGTGGTGGTGGTGGTGGTGGTGGTTGTGGTGGTGGTGGTGGTGACCTGGTCCACGCTCAGCACGGTGGTGGCTGCGTTGGTGGCGAGCTTCAGGGCCCAGTGCTTGAGCAGTGATAGTGGTTGTGGTGGTGGTGGTAGTGGTGGTGGTGGTGGTTGTGGTGGTGGTGGTGGTGACCTGGTCCACGCTCAGCACGGTGGTGGCTGCGTTGGTGGCGAGCTTCAGGGCCCAGTGCTTGAGCAGTGATAGTGGTTGTTGGTGGTGTGGTTGGTGGTGGTGGTGGTTGTGGTGGTGGTGGTGGTGACCTGGTCCACGCTCAGCACGGTGGTGGCTGCGTTGGTGGCGAGCTTCAGGGCCCAGTGCTTGAGCAGTGATAGTGGTTGTGGTGGTGGTGGTAGTGGTGGTGGTGGTGGTTGTGGTGGTGGTGGTGGTGACCTGGTCCACGCTCAGCACGGTGGTGGCTGCGTTGGTGGCGAGCTTCAGGGCCCAGTGCTTGAGCAGTGATAGTGGTTGTGGTGGTGGTGGTAGTGGTGGTGGTGGTGGTTGTGGTGGTGGTGGTGGTGACCTGGTCCACGCTCAGCACGGTGGTGGCTGCGTTGGTGGCGAGCTTCAGGGCCCAGTGCTTGAGCAGTTGATAGTGGTTGTGGTGGTGGTGGTAGTGGTGGTGGTGGTGGTTGTGTGGTGGTGTGGTGGTGACCTGGTCCACGCTCAGCACGGTGGTGGCTGCGTTGGTGGCGAGCTTCAGGGCCCAGTGCTTGAGCAGTGATAGTGGTTGTGGTGGTTGGTGGTAGTGGTGGTGGTGGTGGTTGTGGGGTGGTGGTGGTGACCTGGTCCACGCTCAGCACGGTGGTGGCTGCGTTGGTGGCGAGCTTCAGGGCCCAGTGCTTGAGCAGTGATAGTGGTTGTGGTGGTGGTGGTAGTGGTGGTGGTGGTGGTTGTGGTGGTGGTGGTGGTGACCTGGTCCACGCTCAGCACGGTGGTGGCTGCGTTGGTGGCGAGCTTCAGGGCCCAGTGCTTGAGCAGTGATAGTGGTTGTGGTGGTGGTGGTAGTGGTGGTGGTGGTGGTTGTGGTGGTGGTGGTGGTGACCTGGTCCAAGCTCAGCACGGTGGTGGCTGCGTTGGTGGCGAGCTTCAGGGCCCAGTGCTTGAGCAGTGATAGTGGTTGTGGTGGTGGTGGTAGTGGTGGTGGTGGTGGTTGTGGTGGTGGTGGTGGTGACCTGGTCCACGCTCAGCACGGTGGTGGCTGCGTTGGTGGCGAGCTTCAGGGCCCAGTGCTTGAGCAGTGATAGTGGTTGTGGTGGTGGTGGTAGTGGTGGTGGTGGTGGTTGTGGTGGTGGTGGTGGTGACCTGGTCCACGCTCAGCACGGGTGGTGGCTGCGTTGGTGGCGAGCTTCAGGGCCCAGTGCTTGAGCAGTGATAGTGGTTGTGGTGGTGGTGGTAGTGGTGGTGGTGGTGGTTGTGGTGGTGGTGGTGGTGACCTGGTCCACGCTCAGCACGGTGGTGGCTGCGTTGGTGGCGAGCTTCAGGGCCCAGTGCTGAGCAGTGATAGTGGTTGTGGTGGTGGTGGTAGTGGTGGTGGTGGTGGTTGTGGTGGTGGTGGTGGTGACCTGGTCCACGCTCAGCACGGTGGTGGCTGCGTTGGTGGCGAGCTTCAGGGCCCAGTGCTTGAGCAGTGATAGTGGTTGTGGTGGTGGTGGTAGTGGTGGTGGTGGTGGTTGTGGTGGTGGTGGTGGTGACCTGGTCCACGCTCAGCACGGTGGTGGCTGCGTTGGTGGCGAGCTTCAGGGCCCAGTGCTTGAGCAGTGATAGTGGTTGTGGTGGTGTGGTAGTGGTGGTGGTGGTGGTTGTGGTGGTGGTGGTGGTGACCTGGTCCACGCTCAGCACGGTGGTGGCTGCGTTGGTGGCGAGCTTCAGGGCCCAGTGCTTGAGCAGTGATAGTGGTTGTGGTGGTGGTGGTAGTGGTGGTGGTGGTGGTTGTGGTGGTGGTGGTGGTGACCTGGTCCACGCTCAGCACGGTGGTGGCTGCATGGTGGCGAGCTTCAGGGCCCAGTGCTTGAGCAGCAGCGGCTCCAGGATGCCGGCCACGTTCGCGTCCAACACCTTGGCGCCCTCTCCCTACACACACAGGCAAAGGTCCCCCGTGTAGCCTCAGCAGACTGTAGGGGCAAGTGCTGTTAGTAGTAGCTACCTACACAGACAAAGGTCCCCCGTGTAGCCTCAGCAGACTGTAGGGGCAAGTGCTGTTAGTAGTAGCTACCTACACAGGCACAGGTCCCCATGTAGCCTCAACAGACTGTAGGGGCAAGTGCTGTTAGTAGTAGCTACCTACACAGGCAAAGATCCCCCGCGTAGCCTGTAACAGGCTGTAGGGGCAAGTGCTGTTAGCGAGTAGCACCTATGAAGGCCGGCACGGCACACGAGGGGGTGGGTGGCCAGCACCACGCCCGGCCGCCTTTGTCTCCCCAGTGCTAGCGATGTTTACTTCACACTGCACCAGGTACTCATTTGTGGCTGAGTCGACCTTGGGGAGGCCCGGGACCGGTTCAGATAATCGGTGGTGGTGGTGATAGTGGTGGTGGTGATAGTGGTGGTGGTGAGTGGTGGTGGTGGTGATAGTGGTGGTTGTGATAGTGGTGGTGGTGATAGTGGTGGTGGTGATTCTGGTGATAGCGGTGGTGGTGATAGCGGTGGTGATAGTGGCGGTGATAGTGGCGGTGGTGGTGATTCTGGTGATAGCGCTGGTGGTGATAGCGCTGGTGGTGGTGATGATAGTGGTGGTGACAGCGCTAGAGGTGGTGATAGTGGTGGTGGTGATAGTTGTGGTGATAGAGGTGGTGATGATGTTGGCGGTGACAGCGCAAGCTAGCTAGCTGTGCCGACGACGACGGTGGTGACAGTAGCCGGCGGCGGACAGTGCCGGGGATTCTCACCTCGATGTCGATGCCCACGCCGGGGCCGGTGACGCCGGCGTCGCCGGTGCCGGCGGTGCCGCCGGGCGCGCCGTGCTGGTGTGCGGCGTAGAGCAGCGACAGCACCTCGTTGGCCTTGGCGCCGGCGTTCTCTGCCAGCGCCCGCGGCACAGACTCCAGCGCCACCGCAAACTTCCTGATGGCGTACTGGTCCAGCCCGGGACTCGCCTGCACACACCACACACACGCAGACACGCACGCACACAGACACACAGATACACACACAGACACACACACACACACAGACACACAGATACACACACAGACACACACACACACACAGACACACAGATACACACACAGACACACACACAGACACACACACAGGACACACAGATACATACACAGACACACACACAGACACACACACAGACACACAGATACACAGACACACACACACAGACACACAGATACACACACAGACACACACACAGACACACAGATACATACACAGACACACACACAGACACACAGATACACAGACATGCACACACACACAGACACACACACAGACACACAGATACACACAGACACACACACAGACACACAGATACACACAGACACACACACACACACAGACACACAGACACACACACAGACACACAGATACACACAGACACACGCACAGACACACAGATACACACACAGACACACACACACACATACACACACAGACACACACACAGACACACACACACAGTGACACACACACAGACACACACACACAGTGACACACACACAGACACACACACAGACACACACACAGACACACACACCACACACACATAGACACACACACAGACACACACACACAGACACACACACACACAGACACACAGGTGAGTGGTGATTGGTCGTGGTGAGTGGTCATGGTGAGTGAGTTGTCAGTGGGTGAGTGAGTGAGTGGTGGGTGAGTGAGTGGTGAGTGAGTGGTGAGTGGTGGTCGTGGTGAGTGGTGAGTGAGTGGTGAGTGAGTGGTGAGTGAGTGGTGAGTGAGTGGTGAGTGGTGGTGAGTGAGTGGGTGAGTGAGTGACTGAGTGGTCGTGGTGAGTGAGTGAGTGGTGAGTGAGTGAGTGATGAGTGAGTGGTGAGTGAGTGGTGGGTGAGTGAGTGGTGAGTGAGTGGTGAGTGAGTGGTGAGTGAGTGGTGAGTGAGTGGTGGTGAGTGGTGGGTGAGTGAGTGGTGAGTGAGTGAGTGGTGAGTGAGTGGTGAGTGAGTGGTGGGTGAGTGAGTGGTGAGTGAGTGGTGAGTGAGTGGTGGGGAGTGAGTGGTGAGTGAGTGAGTGGTGAGTGAGTGGTGAGTGAACCTCACCTCCCCGTATGCCGCTATCTGCTGGGCTAGCTCAATCTCCGTAGCGCCAGCGCCAGGCACCAGACGGCGATCCTGCAGCATCATCATCATTATCATCAACATCACATTATCATCAACATCACATTATCATCACATCACATCACAACATCATCATTATCACAACATCATCATCACAACACATTACATCATCATTAACATCATCATCAACATCATCATCATCATCACAACACATCATCATCATCAACATCATCAACATCATCATTACAACATCATCAACATCATCAACATCATCATTAACATCACAACATCATCATCATCATCACCTACAACATCATCATTACAACATCAACATCATCATCATCATCACATCATCATCACTTACAACATCATCATCACAACACACCAACATCATCATCATCACAACACATCATCATCATCAACATCATCATCATCACATCATTATCACTTACAACATCATCATCACAACACACCAACATCATCATCATCATCACCATCAACAACATCATCACCACAACACATCATCATCAACAGCAGCATCACATCATCAACATCATCACAACACATCACCACATCATCCGCTTCACAACGTCACAACATCAGCATAGCACCGTGGCGATGGTGGTGGTCGTGACGGTGGTAACGGTGGTGACGGTGGTGACGGTGAGTGAGTGAGTGAGTGGTGAGTGAGTGGTGAGTGAGTGGTGAGTGAGTGGTGAGCGAGTGGTGAGTGGTGAGTGAGTGAGTGGTGAGTGAGTGGTGAGTGAGTGGTGAGTGAGTGGTGAGTGAGTGAGTGGTGAGTGAGTGGTGAGTGAGTGAGTGAGTGGTGAGTGAGTGGTGAGTGAGTGAGTGGTGAGTGAGTGAGTGGTGAGTGGTGAGTGAGTGAGTGGTGAGTGGTGAGTGAGTGAGTGGTGAGTGAGTGAGTGAGTGGTGAGTGGTGAGTGGTGAGTGAGTGGTGAGTGAGTGAGTGGTGAGTGAGTGGTGAGTGAGTGGTGAGTGAGTGGTGAGTGAGTGGTGAGTGAGTGGGTGAGTGAGTGGTGAGTGAGTGGTGAGTGAGTGGTGAGCGAGTGGTGAGTGAGTGAGTGAATGAGTGAGTGGTGAGTGAGTGGTGAGTTAGTGAGTGGGTGGGTGGGTGAGTGAGTGGTGAGTGAGTGGTGAGTGAGTGGTGAGTGAGTGGTGAGTGAGTGAGTGGTGAGTGAGTGGTGAGTGAGTGGTGAGCGAGTGGTGAGTGAGTGAGTGAATGAGTGAGTGGTGAGTGAGTGGTGAGTGAGTGAGTGGTGAGCGTGTGTGGTGAGTGAGTGAGTGGTGAGTGAGTGGTGAGTGAGTGGTGAGTGAGTGGTGAGTGAGTGAGTGGTGAGTGAGTGGTGAGTGAGTGGTGAGTGAGTGAGTGGTGAGTGAGTGGTGAGTGAGTGGTGAGTGAGTGGTGAGTGAGTGGTGAGCGAGTGGTGAGTGAGTGAGTGAATGAGTGAGTGGTGAGTGAGTGGTGAGTGAGTGAGTGAGTGGTGAGCGTGTGTGGTGAGTGAGTGAGTGGTGAGTGAGTGGTGAGTGAGTGGTGAGTGAGTGGTGAGTGTTGCTCACCCGCAGGAGGACTTTGTACGAGTTCACTCCGTCGTCCACGGCTCTCTCCGCGTCGTCCATCACGTTCTCCGTGGCTCCACGCAGCAGCACCGTGGAGATGGCGCTCTCCTCCTTGTCTACTCACCACACACGCTCGCCACTCACTCACCACACTCACCACTCACTCACCACACTCACCACTCACTCACTCACCACCCACACTCACCACTCACCACACACTCACTCACCACTCACTCACTCACTCACCACTCACTCACCACACTCACCACTCACTCACCACACTCACCACTCACTCACTCACCACCCACACTCACCACTCACCACACACTCACTCACCACTCACTCACTCACTCACCACTCACTCACCACACTCACCACTCACTCACCACACTCACCACTCACTCTACTCACTCACCACACTACTCACTCACCACTCGCTCACCACTCGCTCACCACTCGCTCACCACTCGCTCACCACTCACTCACTCACTCACCACTCACTCACCACTCACTCACCACTCACTCACCACTCACTCACTCACCACTCACCAACCACTCACTCACCACTCGCTCACCACTCACCACTCACTCACCACTCACTCACTCACCACTCACTCACTCACCACTCACTCACCACTCACTCACTCACCACTCACTCACCACTCACTCACTCACCACTCACTCACTCACCACTCACTCACTCACCACTCACTCACTCACTCACCACCACACGCTCACCACTCACTCACCACTCACTCACTCACCACTCACTCACTCACTCACCACACACGCTCACCACTCACTCACCACTCACTCACTCACTCACCACTCACTCACCACTCACCCCTCACCACTCACTCACCACGCTCACCACGCTCACCACCCCTCACCACGCTCACCACACTCACCCCTCACCCCTCACCACGCTCACCCCTCACCCCTCACCACTCACTCACCACACTCACCACCCCTCACCCCTCACCACCCCTCACCCCTCACCACCCCTCACCCCACACTCACCACGCTCACTCACCACTCACTCACCACGCTCACCACGCTCACCACCCCCTCACCACGCTCACCACGCTCACCCCTCACCACACTCACCACGCTCACCCCTCACCCCTCACCACTCACTCACCACACTCACCACCCCTCACCACGCTCACCACACTCACCACCCCTCACCCCTCACCCCACACTCACTCACCACTCACCACTCACTCACCACGCTCACCACGCTCACCACCCCCTCACCACGCTCACCCCTCACCACACTCACCACTCACTCACCACGCTCACCCCTCACCCCACGCTCACCTTGCTTGAAGACGACCACCTGCGTGTCTCCCACCTCGTCAAGGTGGACGCTGTCACAGTGACCCAGATCATCCGCCGTGGGTGGAGTCTGCATCACCGGGGAGGAGGAGGTGGTGGAGGAGATGGTGGAGGATGAGGAGGTGGTAGCGGTGGTGGTGGTGGATGTGGTGATGGAGGAGGTGGTGGAGATGGTGGAGGATGAGGAGGTGGTAGCGGTGGTGGTGGTGCAGGAGGAGGACATGGAGGTGGTGGATGTGGTGGTGGAGGAGGTTGTGGTGGTGGATGATGTGGTGGAGGTGGTGGAGGAGGTGGAGGTTGTGGTGGTGGAGGTTGTGGTGGAGATGGTGGTGGATGTGGTGGTGGATGTGGTGGTGTAGAGATGGTGGTGGAGGAGGTGGATGTGGTGGTGATGGTGATGGATGTGGAGGTGATGGATGTGGTGGATGTAGTGGTGGAGGTGGAGGAGATGGTGGTGGATGTGGTGGAGGTGGTGGTGGCAGTGGTGGAGGAGATGGTGATGGCGGTGGTGGTGATGGTGGTGGAGATGGTGGTGGATGTAGTGGTGGAGATGGTGGTGGATATGGTAGAGGTAGTGGTGGAGGAGATGGTGGTGGATGTGGTGGAGGTAGTGGAGATGGTGGTGGATGTGGAGGTAGTGGTGGAGGGGATGGTGGTGATGGTGATAGTGGTGGAGATGGTGGTGGAGGTAGTGGTGGAGGTGGAGATGGTGGAGGATGTGGCAGAGGCTCCGCTGTCATCCCTCTCCAGCTGGGGGTGTCAATGAGTTCACTGGCAGCACTTGCCCCTAGAGCACCTGTGTGTGTGTGGGCTACACGGGGATCTTTTACTGTTAGGAACCAAGTGGACCAGCCACCAACAGAATATATCGTCCATCCGTTTGTCCGTGTAGCAACATCGCCCCCTACTGCAAACACTTGGCATGACCCTACAAAAACCGAGACCTAGGCCTCAAACTCTCCCTTCGTATAGTACCCCCCGGCGTGTGTGTGAAAGGGAGTTAATGTTTCACAATGTTACATTCCCTCATGTTTTTAAATAGCAACATTTACATTTAAAGCTTTTACATTAAAAACAAATCCCTACCCCCCCCCTCGTCGGCCAGGCCTGGGAATCTCTCCCCCGCTCGGAGTGTATTGGGCGGGGCTACGCGGGGCTACGCGGGGCTACGCGGGGCTGGGCGGGGCTACACGGGGCTGGGCGGGGCTACGCGGGGCTGGGCGGGGCTACACGGGGCTACGCGGGGCTACGCGGGGCTGGGCGGGGCTACGCGGGGCTGGGCGGGGCTACGCGGGGCTGGGCGGGGCTACACGGGGCTGGGCGGGGCTGGGCGGGGCTACGCGGGGCTGGGCGGGGCTACACGGGGCTACGCGGGGCTACGCGGGCTGGGCGGGGCTACACGGGGCTGGGCGGGGCTACGCGGGGCTGGGCGGGGCTACGCGGGGCTACGCGGGGCTGGGCGGGCTACACGGGGCTACGCGGGGCTACGCGGGGCTGGGCGGGGCTACGCGGGGCTGGGCGGGGCTGGGCGGGGCTGGGCGGGGCTGGGCGGGGCTACGCGGGGCTGGGCGGGGCTACGCGGGCTGGGCGGGGCTGGGCGGGGCTGGGCGGGGCTACGCGGGGCTGGGCGGGGCTACGCGGGGCTGGGCGGGGCTACGCGGGCTGGGCGGGGCTACGCGGGGCTGGGCGGGGCTACGCGGGGCTGGGCGGGGCTATGCGGGGCTACGCGGGGCTGGGCGGGGCTGGGCGGCGCAACGGCGGCAGGGGGCGTGGGTACGAGGTGGAGGGCGGGGCCACGGGGCATCCACTTATTGGCGGCCATTTTTAAATCCTTTATATTAAGTTCGCTTGCTTGCTTGCGTGCTTGCTTGCTTAGGACCGTGCAAATCTTTCGTTCGTGTTTTAACCCACTTCCCGTGATCCAATCGAGCTGACATTTTCCACACAGACTCGTTGTGCCAGACAATTAATGTTCGTGAAAAAAAATTCCCAAAATTTTACACTTTTTAGGCAAAAAAAAATGATTTTACATATATTCAAATAGAACTCATTCATCGCTTTGGCTGAACGTCAGAGTATAAGAGCCCAGAGCGTAACCCGTCCACAGGCCGTGGCGGAGTAGCGCAGTTGGTAGCGCCCTCGCTTCCCATGCCAAAGGTCGCGGGATCGATCCCCGCGTCCTCCACAGGCGAATATATTTTTAAATCCTTTATATTAAGTTCGCTGCCACGCATATAAAGGATTTATAGTGAAAAACTTAGTTTTTACGGGTTATACTTATTTGCCATTTCATTTTATTATAGCCATTCAATTGTTCGGTCCTACCAGCCCACCCCACAGGGTCCTGTTACTGGTAGGAACTAAGTGGACCAGCCTACAATAGATTATATCGTCCGTCCATCCGATGTGTAGCAACATCGCCCCCTACTGCAAACACTTGGCAGGACCCTACAAAAAACTTTAGACTCAGTGACGCTTTCCTGGCTAAACAAGTGTAATAATACATTATGTTTATATTCTTTGGTTATTCGTTCCTACCAGCCCACCCCGCAGGCTCCTGTTTATGTATGTGTGTGTCTTTGTCTCTGTGTGTCAATGTCTCTGTGTGTCTGCGTGTCTGCATGGCTGCATGTCTGTGTCTCTGTGTCTCTGTCTGCGTCTCTATGTGTGTGTCTGTGTGTGTGTGTCTCTGTGCATCTGTGTTTCTCTGCATGTGTCTCTGTGTCTCTGTGTTTCCTCTGCATGTGTCTCTGTGTGTGTGTCTCTGTGTTTCCTCTGCATGTGTCTCTGTGTGTGTGTCTCTGTGTTTCTCTGCATGTGTCTCTGTGTGTGTGTCTCTGTGTTTCTCTGCATGTGTCTCTGTGTGTGTGTCTCTGTGTTTCCTCTGCATGTGTCTCTGTGTGTGTGTCTCTGTGTTTCCTCTGCATGTGTCTCTGTGTGTGTGTCTCTGTGTTTCCTCTGCATGTGTCTCTGTGTGTGTCTCTCTGTGTCTCTGTTTGTCTCTCACCAGACGAGGTAGGACAGTGGCCCCAACCGTCTTGCTCAGTCGTCTTAGATCCCATTTGGAATTCAGCCTGGACACAGACACACACAGACACATACACACAGACACACACACAGACACACACACACACACAGACAGACACACAAACACACACACACAGACACACACACACATAGACAGACACACAGACACACACACACAGACACACACACACAGACAGACACACAGACACACACACAAAGACAAGTTATATAGACACAAAGACAAAGGTCCCCCGTGTAGCCTCTAACAGACTGTAGGGGCAAGTGCTGTTAGTAGTAGCGAGTAGCTACCTACACAAAGGTCCCCCGTGTAGCCTCTAGCAGACTGTAGGGGCAAGTGCTGTTAGTAGTAGCGAGAAGCTACCTACACAAAGGTCCCCCGTGTAGCCTCTAACAGACTGTAGGGGCAAGTGCTGTTAGTAGTAGCGAGAAGCTACCTACACAAAGGTCCCCCGTGTAGCCTCTAACAGACTGTAGGGGCAAGTGCTGTTAGTAGTAGCGAGAAGCTACCTACACAAAGGTCCCCCGTGTAGCCTCTAACAGACTGTAGGGGCAAGTGCTGTTAGTAGTAGCGAGTAGCTACCTACACAAAGGTCCCCCGTGTAGCCTCTAACAGACTGTAGGGGCAGGTGCTGTTAGTAGCAGCAGCAGCGCCTATGACGGCTACCGGCACTGTGGCTACACACACAGAGAGGGTGGCGGTGACGTCACCACGGCGCTTGTGCCAGGCTAGGTGCACTTTGAGGCCACATGAAGTGTCTAAGGCTCTCTGTTGGCAGGAGGTCACGGGACAGACCCAGCAGGTGCCATGGGTTGACTGCTGTGCCAGGCTAGGTGCAGGAGGAGGTCACAGGACAAACCCTGCAGGTGCAATGGGTTGACTGCTCTGCCAGGCTAGGTGCATGAGGAGGTCATGGGACAGACCCTGCAGGTGCCATGGGTTCACCAACTGAGATGACTGGCTGAT